TATAGGAATTAGAAAATTTGAGTTGGTTGCAAAAGCTCAATTCCTGTTAGGGTTTTTTTCTTTAAAATATATTTTTGTTGGTACGTAGATAGTAAAATATATTTTTGTTGGTACGTAGATAGTAAAATTGCCGAAAAACATTTCAAGTATCCAATGGAATTTGGCTAATTTATATATATAGATGTAGTCAAAATTTAAGATATGCCAAAATCTGCATGAATAGGTGTATTGGGTGCATAGAGCTAGGTTTTTTTTTAAGGGGGATATTTATGTATATGAATAGGGGTATGAGAGGGGGGGGGAAGATGTTAAGTTACAAAAGTGCAAATCATATTTTATTAAAAGAATCGTGAATAAGTTGTAAATTTTCTTTAATATTCGTGATTCAGTTATAATAATAATAATAATAATCATAATAATAATACTTTCGTAAGATCTAATTTTAACACTGCACCTACTTACCATGTATTTACTTTTTTTTATTTCATTGATAAATTTCTATTAATTTATTTTATTTAATTCTAATTGTACTAAAGAATTCCTATGAATGGATGTTTTTCTGTTTATTTGTTTACTTTATATATTGGACAATACATGGTTGTCAGCATCCAAACATAATAACGATTCTTCTATATCAAAATAACATTAAAATGTTTTAAAAATTTGAAATATTTGTGTTTTTTTCTTTCCTACTTTTTAAACTATAATTCTACTTTATGTTATCCGTTTTGCACCTCCAACCCCTTACTTACTTCCTTCACCATTCCTACCCCTCCACTTTTCACCTTTAAGGGACCCCTCTGCTAAACCCACTCCCAGCCCCCCTCTCCCCCTATTATAACTGCACCCGAAGTTTTATGTTTGAAGCATGCTAAATTTGGCATAAAGGTCTCTACTGCCTTAGTTTTCAAGCTAATTAAGTAGTTTCTGTGTAATAGCTATAGAGTCGAAAATATATATGTCTGTATTGTTGTTAAAAGGTACTATAACTACAAAACATTTAAAATATAAAAAAAATAAAATGTTACTTTTGTAATTGTCCCCGATGGATAATCCCAGAGTGTCTGTAATCGTAATTTTAAAATGACTCTTCGAGTATATCGTCTTTTTTATCTGTTGCATTTTGACGATTTCCTTTATTGTCTCAGCAACGTAAATCCTCATTGAAACCAGAAAATTTGAGGATACCGTTGTTAATCAGACACGACATTAAAAACTAAAGGGAAACTTAAAATTACGCTAACTGCCCCTTTAAACCCAAGTTCTACTTCTCTCCTTGGTGAAGATCTCTGTAGACCGCACCCAGCGTGGGAAGGAAACCCTGGCCGCCATGAGCCTCCCTGATTTGCGGTGCAGCACCGAGCCTCCGCTATGGAAAAGGAAAATATTAAGAAAACAAATTATTAAATTAATTCGATTTGGTTAAAATCTTTGATTTAAGCGATAACTTTTTGAAAAACTATTTATGTTATACAAATCTTTTAGTACTATTTTTTTTTTTTAGAATTATCTAAATTAATAAAAAATAAACAAAATTCTTAAAATAAAGAATTTAACTCAAATCTAATTCATTTTCGAATTTGGTTTTTTAATATCTTTCTTTTCGCATAACAACCTTTTGAAGTTTTAGTATAGAATTTGTATTCCATAGCGGAGGCTCGGTGCTGCATAGCAAATCTGAGAGGCTCATGGCGGCCGGGGTTTCCCTCCCTAATCCAACTCAGACACATAAAATCATTAGTTTCAACATATCTTTCAGATTTAAACTTATCTTTGACGTTTATTTTGCAAAAAGGATATTTTTGGCATAAATTATGCAAATTCTCAAATATGATAAGTTTTAGGGATTGTGAGGTCAGGTGTTTTTCCAAAATATACTTGTGTGGCAAATATCTATCCTTTTTGAAATCTAGATATTTATTTATTTATTTATTTATGTGATTAAAGATATTACATTTTTTTAAATATGTTACGGCTGTGTTACGTGTTTATATTATGTTGGCGGATTGGTTTTTAGAAAGAAAATAATTTTAATTTAATTTAGAAGATCCAGCTAAATAGGAATAATTTTAATTTAATTTAGAAGATCTAGCTAAATGGGAATAATTTTAATTTAATTTAGAAGATCCAGCTAAATGGGAATAATTTTAATTTAATTTAGAAGATCTAGCGATATTTTCTGAGATGGGATTTAAAAACTTTGCATTTACTTTTTAAATTGAAAGGAATGACTCCATAAAACTATTTATAATGTATATTTTGTAATCTTTGAGATGTTACAAAAATATTTTACACAAATTGTACATAGTACATAGTACGTGGATACTCGGAAATCAAATTTTAAATCCTAGAAACGTTGAAATATTTATCCTAACTGCGGCGTACGGCCGGCCCCAAAAGTCCATAGATAAGAGAGTACAGAGATCTATTAAATGTTAGACTTTGCGATATTTTCTCCAAAGAGTTCTATTGTGTACAACTGGAGTACTCGACCAATAAGCAGGGTCCTTCGGGATTGACATTCAATTTGAAGAATTAAATTTTTGAATTTATCTCCTTGATTTAATATAACTTAAACGCCCTTCTCTTTACAAATCCCATCCTTCCCCCGTCTTTGCTCCTATTTCCTGTATTTTTTGCATTGTTTCCCGTCTCCCTGGTTCCGCCCTTATTTTAATTATTTTTAGGGGGTTCTTGGAATGTTTAAATAAATGTAGTTTTCATATCGTGTTTAATCTGTTAAACATTATTCTTGACCTCTCATTGTTCTAGAATTCCTTGAATTTTCTAGAATTTTCGAGGATTTTCTAGAATTCTGCATTCTCCGGTCTAATTCACAACAAATGCATGACAATTGACAATTGACAATTGTTTGAAAATGTCATTTCTTCACGCGAGTTTATTTACATAAAAATCTATTAAATGTGGTTTTACTTTTTCCATTATAGAAAGTAAACTAAGTTTAAACAATACTTAGCCAAAAACCAAAAATACATTAAGCTAGTTTGATAAATAGAAATAAGACATATCTTTTCTAAATACAAAGCTAATTTGATAAATAGAAATAAATCTTTTCTAAATGAATTTATAATTTATAAATTCAATTGTACAGGATTATCGAAAAAAATTAGAGTTTTGATTTAAAAAATTGGCGATGTCTTGCCTTTATTACAATAATATCATTTAGTTACGTTGTACACTTGTACAGTTTCATTTACTAGGTTTACACTGTACATACACTGTACACTGTACATAAGATTATTGAGATATGCTGTGCAGTGTACGTTTTATATTGGTTCTTTAAGTTACAATTTAAGCTAAATGATGTAAAATATTTTGCAGCAAACCCTTTATGTAAATAGGTGAAGGAGGGGGGGGGGGGGTTATCTCAAATAAGCATTTTTATCATGGGCGTATTTCATTTGCGTTTTTACCTATAATATAACCCTGCTTAAACAAACCATATTCGGTCTTATTTTTAACTTGAGATAGGTTAATGTTGGCTTAAAATTTTATATTTTCTCAGTCTGCATTCAACTTGCATTCAGCCTGTCAGTTTTGTATCGTTATGCTAAATATGCATTCGACTAAATGCATTTTTTGCACCAAACTAAATTCCTGAAATTCGCTTCTAAAATTTTGTAGAAAGTGTTTATCTTAAATCTCATCAGCCTCCTTGTCCCCTATTTATTCATAGTTAATCAGACGACGTTTCAATCTAATTTTTCAAATATTATTCATGAAACAGAATTAACAAAATAGCCCTAGTCCTGCCAATTCCAACATGTGTTTAAAATTACCAGAGATATATATGTAAAGTTGTTTAACAATGAATTCCGGGTTTTTCTGGTGATGATTGTAGTTTTTTTCTCTTTAACAAATTGTAATATTATGCTATGATTAAAATATATAAACACAATCGCTTTTAAAATTGACTTTTTAAAACAATAAGAAACTTGTAATTAAAATTGTTTGAAATCATGGTTTATGAATACTGTTTAAACCACTAAAGACTATCTATCCATCTATCTATGTAAGTCTCTGCTTGTCTGTTTGTATTGGTAAACTCGGTAGAACCACGAAAGTTTTCTTAAATTGGTTTAAAAAGGGAAAAGTTGGTTTTCAGACAAAGCTAGATTTGATGAAAGAACAACGTAATTTAATATTTTTATTTTGGATCACACAAACATCGATTTAAGACCAAATTTAAAGAATGGCGAGTGGACTAAGATGAACTGCACGTCTTAGTAGCTCGATCAACTTTAGAATTATAATTCAATTTTATTTATAAGAAAAAAGTTACATATCATAGCCGATTCCACATTATCAATCCAATATCAGTGTTTTTATTATATTTTTTTCAACCCTCTGAGATATTATTTTTTATGCCAGTATCTACATTATAACTTAGTAATTTTTACAACAATCATTGCCTAGCAAAATGTTAGTTTTTTATTTGACAGAATCTATAAAAAATGTGTATCTCCGATTTTTGAATTTGTCAAAACTGAAACTAAGATAGAAACTCTTTGATTTAACGCTAAAGAAACTCAGGCCAAATTAAAAAATTTGAGCCGCGGCTTAAATTTGAGACGTGGGTCAAATATTGTTATTAAAATTGTATTCAATGGTTCATGATTTAAGCTGGCGCTATTTGGGGGATTTGAGACGCGGCTCTAACACCTGATGTATTATTGATTTTCATAAAAACGTGAATTATGTTGGATCAAATAAACAAGGTTTAAAATATTAGAGGTTTACACCATTAAAGAAATGGAGATTATTAAATCAAAGGTTGTTGCCGAGTTTTTAACACAAACGCAAATTTTCTTATCTCTATATCTTTGCAACCTGATGGTTTAAACCTTTCACATTTCAAACCTAGATTATTTAATATAACAGAGTTCATAGTTTGAAATATCTAAGGTCTATAGCATTTAGAAAATCAGTGTTTGTGGAAAAGACTTTGAATCCCTCGTTAATGTCTCTTATTGTTCTAGGCCGGTGAGCGTATAGCCTGGGAGCTGCATCACGTGACCTTGAACCGTGTCTCTGGGTTCGGGTTTGGTATTGCTGTCTCCGGGGGGAGGGATAACCCTCACTTCTCTAATGGCGACACTTCTATTGCTATTTCTGATGTGCTTAAAGGAGGGCCAGCAGAAGGAAAACTAATGTGAGTACATTTTTTTATTTGCTTTTAAGGGACTGTAAGCGTAATTTAAAAAGACTTAACATGCAAGGATGGCAAAGCCCGATTCACATTGGTATCCTCTGAGCATTCCTACATGTTTCCCTGCAGTAGAAATGCGCAATACATTTTGTAGCGAAACTGCACAATTGAAAACAATTTTTAAAAATATTATAAGCATAAATACCTGACACAAACATGATCAGATAAATCATTTAAGAGTACTGTTGTTAATCGGACATTGTCATTTGGTGCATTTAAAGTACCTTGTATTAACTGACGCTTGTACAGTCCCTTTAGTTGAATTTGAGAGCTTAACGTGTCTCAATCTTTTAGAAATACAACTTTTAAAAACAAACTGACTAATATCCTTCTTGAGATTTTGAATGAGTTAAACTAATTTCGTTAATTTAAGCCTACGAGCAATGCTTTTGATTTAAAAAAGGATCTCTGCATTCGCCGCAGTGAAAATTATATATTTTTAATCATAAAGTTGAGCTGTTGAACCCACAGAAGTTTTTACTGTTTTCGAATTTAATGAATTTAAGCCGCGTCTCAAATACACCAAAAACCAAATTTTGAGCCACGATTTAAAATTAAATTGCGACTCAAGTTCTTTAAATTCGGCCTCTGGTATTACTATTTCGCTTCTAGCTATATTATTCGGTTAACAATGTTTTGCTAGATGTAAGTTTATTTACCCCCCATCTTTTAGTATTGTTATATTTCTTTCAACTTCTAAAAATGCTAATTTTTCAATTTGTTTTAAAGATTAGAAACTTGATACTTTCTCCTAAAATCGCCTTCAAATAAATTTTTTTTCTTATTAACCCTCTTCTCAATGCATATTTTCTTTGATGAAACTTTGGAAGAAATCTAAAATTTTTATAAATCAATTAATTTCTAAGTGATATTAAAATCTTTTTATATAAATTAGTAATCTCTGTTTGTCTGTTTGTTTGTTTGGATGTTCGATCATAACTCGTGAACCACTAGACCGATTTGTCTCAAATTTTCAGTGGGGAACTCAATAGAACCACGGTAATATTTTTTAGGCTGGTTTGAAAATCAGTATATCCAGGAAAAAAAGAATCTCTAAGAATGAATTCCTATAAATGGATCTCTAAGAATAAATCACTGTAAATGGATCTCTAAGAATGAATCGCTATAAATGAGTCTCTAAGAATGAATCTCTACAAATGAATCTCAATAAATAAATCTCTTTGAATGAATCTCGAATCTCTATAATGAATCTCTAAGAATGAATCGCTATAAATGAGTCTCTAAGAATGGATCTCTACAGATGAATCTCTATAATGAATCTCTAAGAATGAATCTCTATGAATGAATCTCTATGAATGAATCTCTATGAATGAATCTCTATAAATGAATCTCTATAAATGAATCTCTATGAATGAATCTCTATAAATGAATCTCTAAGAATAAATCTCTATAAATGAATCTTTAAGAATGAATCTCTTTGAATGAATTTCTAACTATGAATTTATATGAATAATCTCACCAAAATGGTTCCGCCTACGTAACCTGATCAAATTACACCTTCTATAATTTATAGCATGCTTCTGCCCCCTTTGCATACAAAATTCACGCTAGCCTAAACTGATCTGCACAATTTCAAACATATTTCATGAAAATACAGTTAGATCTAAACATTTTCAAACATATTTCATGAAAATAAAGTCAGATCTAAACATTTTCAAACATATTTCATGAAAATACAGTCAGAGCTAAACATTTTCAAACATATTTCGTGCAAATACAGTCAGAGCTAAACATTTTCAAACATATTTCATGTAAATACAGTTAGATCTAAACATTTTTAAACATATTTCACGCACAATTAAACATATCATTGATTTCATACATATTTCACGAAACACAAACAGATCCTAACTTTTCATTCATATTTAACGCAACCGCAAACATATCTGAACATATTTGAACATTTGTCATGCAAAAACAAACAGATCATAGAGAAAGGAAACAAAGAGGAAAAGCTTACCTCAGATGTACGCAACCGACCTCCCTATTAATTAATTAATAATGTGGTCGGTTGTATGCATCACGATATGTTTACGTATCTGACGCTGTACACTTGAATATAGAGTGATCGTATTTCTTGGGGGTGGTAAAATGCAGATAATTGGATATTTGTATTAATAGCTAGGCAGACACTTAATATGAATTGTAAACATAGGAATATATACAGCAGTACAGTACATTCCAGTTCAGTTGTTTGTTTATGAAAAAAACAAGAATGACAAAAAAATATCTTTTATCCTGAATACATTTCTTTTTCATTTCATATCAGGTGTATTGACTAACTGATTATCCTGTTGGTAAGGTTAGTTTTTTCATGATGAAATATTTAATATACACTTTTCTTCCTTTTTAATACTATCTCCGTATACATATTGTATTGGGATAATTAGATGTCCAGAGGTCTGAACTCTGGTGTAGAAGATCGTAAATCTGAATGGCTTGATCTCGATATCCAACATGGGAACTCTTTGCTTGATTCCCTTAGATATCCCTGCAGGGTATAAGGCTATTCACGCAAATCTGCCCCTTTGGTATAAAAGAAAATTCAACCGATATAAAGCGTAAAGCCTGACCGCGTCAAGCTTAATGCACCGACTGTCCATAGAGTTAGGTACAGTACAAACTGGGACCGGAAAGGTTGACCCGGCTCGGAAATTCAAATTTACAACGGCTGGCCTTGTATTACGACTAATCCGTATGTTTGGATAAGATAGATATGGATAAGATATATATGGATAAGATAGATATGTATAAGATAGATATGGATAAGGTAGATATGGATAAGATAGATATGGATAAGATAGATATGTATAAGATAGATATGGATAAGATAGATATGGATAGGATAGATGATAAAGATCAATGCTTAATCCCAGGATTCAAAACACAAAAGCTCTGACTTCTGAGCTGGAAACTCGCGTATTGTGGGTATATTTATAAATTATATAAATGCTTAATCTCGATCTTTTGTTAATCTGCAGAATAATTCAATCTTTATTCGATACCCGCAGTGTAATTCTACCTTAGAGGGATGTCTGAAATCAATTGTTTAAGCACTGATCCTCAAATTAAAAGTGCCCATAGTGGATATCGAGATCAAGTAATCGGGATCATTTGGGATCAAGAGAATCCAGCACAAAAGTTTTCATGGCTCTGGTTAGGTTAGAATATTGGTTAAGATAAATTTATGGTCACGGAAAGTTGCTCTCCTTCAGAAAGAGGAAAACTACCGATCATTTTAAAATAATCGCAGAGGAACTAATTACTCGACTCAAACTCTACCTTTATTATTCCTCGCAAAGGAACTAATTGCTCGCCTCAAACTCTAACTTTATTATTCCTCGCAAAGGAACTAATTACTCGACTCAAACTCTAACTTTATTATTCTTCGCAAAGGAACTAATTACTCGACTCAAACTCTAACTTTATTATTCCTCGCAGAGGAACTAATTACTCGACTCAAACTCTAACTTTATAATTCCTCGCAAAGGAACTAATTACTCGACTCAAACTCTAACTTTATTATTCCTTGCAAAGGAACTAATTACTCGCCTCAAACTCTACCTTTATTATTCCTCGCAAAGGAACTAATTACTCGCCTCAAACTCTACCTTTATTATTCCTCGCAAAGGAACTAATAACTCGCCTCAAACTCTAACTTCATTATTCCTCTCAAAGGAACTAAATACTCGCCTCAAACTCTAACTTTATTATTCCTCTCAAAGGAACTAAATACTCGCCTCAAACTCTACCTTTATTATTCCTCGCAAAGGAACTAATTACTCGCCTCAAACTCTATATTTATTATTCCTCGCAAAGGAACTAATTACTCGCCTCAAACTCTAACTTTATTATTCCTCGCAAAGGAACAAATCTTTCGCCTCAAACTCTAACTTTATAATTCCTCTCAAAGGAACTAATTACTCGTCTCAAACTCTAACTTTATTATTCCTCTCAAAGGAACTAATTACTCGCTTCAAACTCTATATTTATTATTCCTCGCAAAGGAACTAATTACTCGCCTCAAACTCTATTTTTATTATTCCTATATTGTTGCAATCTGCTGGTATAAGCCCTAAATATTACATAATTCTTTAATTAAAAATATTGAAAATCTATGTTTTAGAAAATTAGCCTTAATGACCAAAAATCAGCTACTTTATAGAAAATTAAGATATATAGTAGTCCCTAACAATATGACCTTTCTTCTGAGCATATTGTTTAAATACATGAATACATGAATATGTAACAAGTTCTATTATATTCAGAGAGCCATGAATCTTCATATCCCCCCTTTGACCAAACTAGCATAGAAAGTTTGTACTAGGACTATGCCAGGTACTTGCCAGGGAACCAACGTATGATCTTAATTACATTTAAGTGTACTGCACTTACTGGGTGGAAAATAACCAAAACTGATTTTGTTTATTTTGTCCATTAAAGTTAAGCAAGCTTTTTATGTACTGCATGATGGGGTTCCTGATATTTTCCTTTTGTTCATATTTGTTTGTTATGAAATAGAAACAAAAATTAAATTTTACCTTTTTATTTTCCTAGAAATCTAGAATTTTTTTTTTTGAAGGGGGGTGGGAGGTGGGGGAGGGGTGTAGTGTGGGATATTTCTGTAAATTATACATCCCTAGTTTAGTTTTGAGTTAAGCTCTTTTATTGAAAAGGGAAAGTGAAGTTTAAGGGTTTAGGCAGTAAATCTTGACCTAGCTACTCACAATAAGCTACTGCAGTAGAAATAAGAATAATATTTGCATTAAATGCAAATTATGATTCCAAGGTTGCCTCATTAAATTCACTAATGATTGAACATGATAACATTAACATGAAATGCAATTTCAATTATAACAATAATAAAATTCCTTCGTGATTTTTATATTATAACATTTTTTCGACAATTTTTTTAGATTTTGACTTTTAGTTGTAAAACCTAAGAACAGAATGGGTTTACCATTCTGTTTTTAGGTTGACATTCAGTTCTGATTGACACTTTTTTGTGTTATGTGTTATGTGTGTTGTACAAATTACAGTTATACGAGGAAAATTTCTCTGTTTTGTACTGGCAGAGGTTGAATGTGTAAATTAATTAGCGTTGTATAAGACATTAACCACTGAAGGTAAAGATAAGAAATCGATTTGATTTCCTAAACATGGACGTTACATCTAGAGGACACGTTTCAAGTACGCATATACGGACGTTACTTGTTCTTATATACGTTAGAGGTCACGTTTTAAGTACGCATATACGGACGTTACTTCTTCTTTAGAGGGCACGTTTCAAATAAGAAAAATTGACGCTATATCTATGAGCCAAGTTACAGCACGTTTTAAGTATGAAAGCATGGAAGTAACAAATGTTAAAGGGACAGTAAAGGAAAAATGAAAGTGGGTATAGACTGAAAGCTAATCACTTAAGCTCTCGATCGCGACCCATGAAAGTTTTATCTGATGTTCCTATCTCGAGAAATTGATTTACAACTGTGTCAAATTTATACGAAAATTAATATATATACAATTTTGTATAAAAGTAGTGGGTTTAAATAGATCAAATTCAGCAAATAAGCAACCAATCTGAAAACGATAATATCCCCGAGGGAGCTAATTATTACTTAGGTTTACTCCAATTCTAATTTTATATTTGTTATTTCTATTTTTAATAGATTTAATTCATAATATTATTTACACGTCCGAATTGCTCGACCAGAAAATCCACCAATGACAGTGCAGTAAAGTGGTCACGTGATACAGGCGGAGACACGTGATCAGTATACTGCTCTGCCATTGGTGATAGTTCTGGTCACGTGATTTAAGTTTAAGATTTTCTAAATTTTACATATATGAACTTTCGTATGATTTTAACACAGTTTTATATCAATTTCTCGAGACAGGAACATCAGATAAAACTTTCATGGGTCGCGATCAAGAGCTAAAGTGATTAGCTTTCAGCCTATACCCCCTTTCATTTTTCCTTTACTGTCCCTTTAAGAGAAAATTACGAACACGTTAATCTATGGCGGCGAGCACGTTTTAAGTAAGAATTCTGTCTTGTTATGAAAAACAAACAATTTTACCAATTTTAAATAGGATGGTAACATAACTGGCGTTTAAAACGTACATCGTATATTCATTGTCACAACGAATTTAAGAAGTTTTAAATTTCTTTTTCTTATTCATTATTTTCCTTTTTGGTTATTATTGCTAATTATATTAATCATTGTTATCATTATTATCATTATTATTCACTCTGTGTTATTATCATTTTATCATTATTATCATTATTATTATTACTATTATTTACTATTGTAATTATCAATATTATTATTATTATCCATTTTTTTAATAATTTTATTTATTATTTAGGATCAATGATCGCGTGATTTCTGCAAACAAGATTTCTTTAGAAGGGGTGGACTACGCTACTGCAGTACAGGTACCCTCTATATATATCTACTCATCTACTCATCTATCTATCTATTTATCTATCTAGATCTTTCTATTATCTATACCCTGATTCATCTTTCAGCTATCTATTTATCTATCCTTCTATCTATTTTTGCTTCTTAAGCATCTATCTATACATAAATCTATTTTTAGCTTTCTATTATCTATACCCTGATTCATCTTTCATCTATCTATTTATCTATCCTTCTATCTATTTTTGCTTCTTAAGCATCTATCTATACATAAATCTATTTTTAGCTTTCTAATATCGATACCCTGATTCATTTTTCACATATCTATTTATCTATCCTTCTATCTATTTTTGCTTCTTAAAATATATCTATCTTTCTATCATCTCTATTAATCTATCTATGTATCTATCTTTCTCCTACCCATTGATCAACCTATGTATTGATCTATGAATTTGTATATATCTATCTATTGTCTATCTGTTGATCTTTCGAGTGATCTCTCGATCTGTTTGTCCATGTATCTAACTAAAGTATAGGTGTTCGGACTTTTATTTGAAATTTTTGGATTTTTGATTAGAGCTCATTATAACACCAACTGATCATTATTTTGTCAATTTTCTTTTTCTTCTCTATTTCAATTCTGAGTTTTCCTTTCCCTCTAATGTTTCTTAAAATCAAGAAAATGCACCAAGGCCTCAACTTTGAATACTTTGTATCTCAGAGCCGGAAACTTATACAGTTTATACTTATACAGTTATACAGTTTTGAAACACAGTTTCGAAAAACTGGTTTTTGGTTTTAAGGAAATTTTGTAGATTTTTCAAAAATTTTATTAAAATTTCCGGCTCATCAGATAGAGTTATATACTTAGATACTCCTCCCACTTTATTGATTTACATTGACCCGTAGGTGCTGCGAGATAGCGGTCAGAGTGTGAACCTGGTTGTAAAGCGACGAATAGTTCTCCCCGCCCCCCCAGAACCACAGAATATAAGAGTATCTCTAGTCAAAACCAAGAAGAAAGATGGTGAGATACACATTTGAATGTCTTGACCAATTAAAAAAAAAACATATTTAGATTATACAAGGGGAGTCATAAAACTGTGGAAAATTAAGACGAAAGCTAAGCATCTTTGTGTGTTTGTTGTTGATAAAGCAAATAGCTTGAGTATAACTGTCGTCTTCCTATTCCACGGTATAAAGGGTCTTGCTGTATTGTTAAAGATTTTTCTTAAAAAAAGAGAAAGTAACAAACGATGTTTTTTTGAAAATAATATTTTCAGATTTTGGGATCGTTCTTGGATGTAAGATCTATATAAAGGAGATCTCTGGGCGATCACTAGCGGATAAAGAGGGCAGTTTGCAGGTAAATAATTCAAAGTAATAAAGATAAATGTTTTAAAATACTTATAGATATATTTTTTTATTAAATGATTATTTTTACAGTTTTAACGGTATTAACGATGCCTATTTTTAAGACCCCAATATTTTTTAATTTATCTGAACCATTTCCTCCTTATTTTCATGGTTTCCAACATTTAACTTTTTGAGCCTCCATTTTGAAAATTTCCCCGCCATTTTTGCTTATTTTCTACAATTCTAGGTTGGGGATTTGATCCAAAAGTTGAACTCCTTGAGTGTGGACGGGTTAAGCCTGAAGGAGACAAGGAAGGTTCTGGAATCTGCGAAAGAAAAGTTGGAAATTACAGTTCAGAGAGATCCTTACCGGTCACCTTTAAAGGTTTGTCGCCATTTTTTCCGACGATTAGATTTGAAATTTTTTTATTAAAATTTTTTTTTCTAGACTGATGCTGCGGAGTCGAGATTAGGAGAAAACCTTTACAGTTCCCCGCCCAGGAAGGATGGGAAGGGGCGGTACGAAGAGACCACACCCCCTTCAAGACCACCTCCACCCAAAGAATCAGGTAGGATTAATGTTTAGAAAAGCTTGTTAAAATTCGCTCTGTTGTCCTTGTTTTTTAGTTACATTCTCTGATTAATGGTTGATTGGCCCTATGAGCAATGAGCATTGTTTATAAAAATATCCGCCCCCCCCTTTCAAACTTTTTCCCCCTGAAGAATAATTGCCTCTAATCGACATGAAGTAAAAATTAGGGGGAATTTTGTAGATTAGCAGGGAGTAGTTCGATCATTGGAAGTTTTTCTTCTTTAATGTTATTAATGGTTTATTTTCGAAGCTTAACTTTTTATTTAAAATTCATAGATAAGATTCTAGATAAGGCCATACAAAAAAAAAATGAAAACTGAATACTCGCCTTAAACTTTAATTTTCTAATTTTTACTTTTTTTGTAGAACTTTGATATTTCAAACTATATATTCTGCTAGATCAAGCATTAAAAGTTAAAAATATATATCAATTGTTTGCACCATCAGGTGACTATAGGATATAGGAATTAGACAATTATAGTGTTTATTTCTTTTCCTCAAGCAACCCCCCTTTAAGATTTTCTAAATTTTACATATATGAACTTTGGTATAATTTTAACACAGTTTTATATCTAAAATTCAAATAGTGATAG